ACCCAGACGTACTTCAACCCCGAGGCCGGCGGGTAGTGAGCAGCCGTCGCCGCACACACGCCACAGTTGGACGGCCGCACCGAAACCGCCGCAAACGCCGCCATCTGCGGGCTCAGGGCCACTCAGTGACACAGCAACACATTGCTAAATTTTTGCCATTTCGCCGTGACCCTCAATTGACAATGGCAGGATCAGCCACTCCTGGAACGTTTGTCGCCAGTTGGCCTCTGGCAGGTCGCCTGCCCATCCTCTCGATCACAACCGCAACCGCCTGAACTCAGCCGTGTACCCCTTCCTTCTCCCGTCCCCCCCGCCCCTCCCCCCAAACACACACTCTGCTCGCGCGAAACAATCGTGGTGGCTGCTGAAGCCTGAACGTCAACCTGCGAGGCGACCCCATGGCTCAGGTGCCCCCATGGGGGCCCCTGGCCAGGGGCTGGCGCAGACCCTGCGGGGGCGGGGGCCTGCGCAACCAGCGGCCACGCGTGTGCTGTTGGCACCTTGATGGGCCATGCAGCCGGCGTCGTATGTACACAGACATACACATGTTGCGTTGTTGCCGTCGCGCACCGCCCTGCGGCGAGCCTCTTGCCTCACGCGTCACGCGTTCATCTGCCGCGCAGGCGGAGACTCGCCAGGTGAATGCGTGGGAGCAGGACTCTCACAGGCACACGATGTGGTGGCGCGTCTCAAGGGTGAGCCACGGGCCTCGGGTGGGGGGCGGGGGACTTTCATGAGCATCTGTTTGGCCGGCCTTGTTGAAGTGCCAAGTTGAGCGAGGCGGAAGTTGAATGCTGTGCCCTACATTCAAGTGTATGTTTGATTTGAAATGGAGACAGGAATGCACACATTCACGTTGAAACTGACTGGTGATCTTCCTTGTAATGAACCTTACCCACATCCCTCCTTCGACTCGCCGCCGCGTGTTGCTGCCTGGCTGCTGACAGATGAAGATGGAGCCTGAAGGGGCCAACAGTGAGCACACTGCCTTGTGACGGGCGCCTGACGGCGCAGGTCGCAGCAGAAAAAGGCGCACCGCCGGCGAGAGGGTCGGCGCCGCCTCTGGAGAGCGCAGCATGCGCAATGGCCTCCAAAGGGAATAGCGCAGGCAGCAGAGCGGCAGATGCGCAGGCAACGGGGCCGGGAGGGCTGATGTACCGCAGCTTCATGTAATGGGTGATGATGAGCCGCCCGGGTCCCTCCATGATCTGTTTGGCTTGAGCTAGATGGCTGCCGCCCGCCCCCTCCTCTCAAAGCGCCAACTTGCCCACCTGCCCTTCCATCCACCCACTGCAATCACCTGTGCACGCACACACCCACCCCCTGACCCCCCCAACTACAACCCCACCCCAGTTGGCGTCGGCGTCTTCCACAACCGGACCCATGCCAACCAGTGAAGCAAGCCAGGGCGGGAGGCTGGCGCGAGAGCTGCCGGCGCGACGCAGGGAACGCGCGACATCAATCGAGCATGGACACCCCTGGCAGACGGGTGCAAGAGAGGCAAGCACATCAAGCACGGGCGACAGCAGGGTTCACTAAGTTTCTGTGCTACGACAGTTTGAAGCAACTGAACACAGTCAATGGGTTGAAAACGCGTGTTCCTTGCCAGATCATGCATTACTTGTCGCGCTGCTTTGTTGTTTAGCAGCATGCATGCGTGCGCGATCCATGGGCGAGGGTGGCGACTGAGCGCGCCACGCAGCTTGACAAACAGTTGACCCAGTCATGCCCCAATATAGATACGGCATTTGGATGTTGCTTTTTGAAGGACCATACGATTGTAATGTCTTGTTGCTGCAGTCAGCCGCACTGGGCTACTGTATAGCATGCATCAAGAATATGCGCCCCGACAAAGACAGTCAGCGCTGGCGACTCGCAGCGCCAGACCAGGATGCGCGCGTCTGGGCCAGCAATGACTCCACTGACAATCAAGCTTGATTTCTTATTCCAAGGTGCACACTTCAAACCCGTATGATAGACCGTATGCCCGTCTGACGTCACGGAATTGTGGCACACTCGCAACTCAAACAACACGACCGCGGTCGGCATTCTCCTGATCCCTGCCACACCTGTCTGTAACAACGCGGACACTTTTCTGAACGGCTGTCTCATATCCTCCGAGCCCATCGCTGCTGTGCAACTTGTGGTTTAGCTCCTCCCACACACGCACACACAGATTTAGCACCCGCGCCATCTCAGAAGATGGTGCAGCCTGCCACACAGAAGGCCTCGCGGCTAGCCAGGTGGTGGATGCGCACGCGCGACGTGCCGGTGAGGCTCAGGGCCGGGGCCATGTGCCCATGGCGCCCTGTCGCTCGTGAAGCGCAAGCAGCGCTGGTTGCATGCGCGACCTCCCTGTGTGCACACGTGGCTGAGGCGCCTGCCCGTTCTCCTCTGCCACAATTTTTTCGTGCATCTGCGTGCCTGCCACGCACACTTATGGGAGTATATCTGACTGCCCGGTCAAGATCATGCCGGCTGGGAACCTGCTGGGCGGCTGCAGAAGCGAGGGTGTGTTGGCCGAACATTGGCCCCGGGCCCGTCCGCCCCCCGTCACTGGCCCGCGCACCCCTTTTTCTTCCAGGAGGTGATGCCGCTCTACGCGTGTCTTGCGTTTGCTGTCGGCATCGCCGGCTACACTACGAAGAAGGTGCGCAGCCTCCCTGTTCCGCCGCTCCAGTGCGCCAACACGTGATGTCCCAGCAGCGACGCTCGCCACCCAGCCCTGGTTGGGTTTGGCGGAGGTGCAAGACCGTGCTGCTCGTGCTCCCAAATGCCGACGTTGATACCTCGCTTCTCACCCCCTGGAACCCTCAGGTCTACTTCAATGCCGACGCTGGGAGTTTGTGAGTTTGCCCGGCGGAGGACGGGGCGGGGCTGCGCGTCCCCTGACTGGCTACTCCGCCAACCAACCTGCGCACTGACCGCGCCATGGGCCGCTCCCTGCCCGCCGCTGAATGCCGCGTCAGACCTGTGAGGCTGCAAGATGGACCACCACCCGTAACAGTGGCCCCATCGCTTAAGCCCCTTACCCCGAATGCCCAACTGCGCGCACTCACTCGTCCAAATGCCAGCGTCAATGTCAACACGAGGGGTGACCCCCTGGCTCAGGTGGGTTGCATCGTCCTGCTGCATAGCGTATTTGGGGCGTTTGGGGCGCTGCGCGTCGTTAGTATTGATGCTACCTCGAAGGCTCGGTCGCCTCATGTCACAAATTTGTCAGCGGTGTCGCCTGCTGGGGAACCTGCCCTGCAGGACAGCGGTGTGATCGCAGCCATCCAGTACAGTGCACTGGCAATCTAGTACAATGCATTGGCTGGCTCGAAGCTGGATCGACTGTCTTTGCTGGCTTGGAACCTGCGCTGGTTGACATGTGTGTGTATGTGTGGGGGGCCGCTCTTGCAAAGTACGACCCTCTTTCACCAATTTGGCTCAGCAATTTCCTTTCACAAGGCTTCTTTTCAAATTGCCTCCGATGAAACGCGCACGCACACATACACCTGAGTGCCTGCTCGCTCCCCGTGGCCAACCAATTGGTCCCTGCACGCGTGTGTCCATTGCAGGCTGAGGCTACCAAGTTGCCGGAGGACCCCTACGAAAAGAAGCACTCGGTGTTTTGGCACGTAGCGCAGGTGCACGGGTGTTCAGTGGGGGTCACGGGGCGCACGCGTAGCATTTGCAATTTTCCAGTGGTGCCCTCTCCCATTGACAGCTGCGGCCATTATGTAATGCCCTAAACGTGTTCCTCCTGCCACCGCCTTGTCTCCAGATCAAGGTTGACCGGGACGGCGCCAACGGTGAGCAGTTGGGCGGGTGCCTTTCCCTTCCCCCCCCCCTGTGGTTGGGGGGTAAAGGGGGGATGGGGCTTGATGGGATCAGCCTGCTGAGGAGAAGCGGCGCAGCGCAGAATTGCAGCGGAGTGAGGAACCCACCCACACAGGCGCAAGGGCAGCTGCTGAATCGCATCGTCTGCCTGCTTGGGGACAGCACTGCTGTGGGTGTTGGCTGGGTGCCTGACGACTGCTTGGGGCTGTCAACGTCTCCCAGCGCCCATGCGGCCCAACAACCGCTCGCTGCACTGTCATTCCCGACCTTTCGCCTCATCAGTTGGTGTGTTTGACAACCGGACGCGCCCCCACCAGTACAGCAAGCCCGGCTATGAGGGCACCGGCGCCATAGCGCCCCAGTAAACGGCATGATTGCTGTTCACCAGCCTGGTTGCACCACGCCATACACACAGCAACTCATAGTGGCTGCGCAGTGCAAGTGGCACTGCTGCTCTCCTCTTGCAGCTATCCTTGTCGGGTGCAGATGTCTCTGATTGCAGGGTGCAGTGGGCATCGAGCGACAGAGCTGAGGGCGAGGCTGTCTCAAGCCTTGCCCTCAGCTTCCCTGGGGGCCCCTGCGCATCATCAACGGGTGTGCCAGGGGGGGCTGTCAAGATATATGACGGTTACATCACAGGCCACACGTTGGCTTCCTAGTAAACTGTTGTGTCATTTGAAGAGGGTGCCATTGAAACCCACCTTTTGCTGGCAAGTATGTATTTCTTGCCGTGTACATATGCAAATATGTATTTTTCACTGTGTGCAAGTGGAGTCTGTGGATTGGGTGTGAACCTGCACACCGGGTGGCAGACAGCAGTGCTGCCCGTCGACAGTAAACTGCGGAGTTGCGGTGGACTCTCTCTCTTCGACCTGTCACGCATGTTCACCAACGATTACGTCGAGTGCCCGTCATTCCGCCGCAGCTGCAATATTCATAGGTATAGGTCCCGCAGTCCAACCTCTGTCTGTGCAGCGCACGGCCAGAAACTTGCATGCGCCAGCAGGTTACTGATGCGTACGTATCAACACCATCCGTCCAGCATCGATGCCACGCATCCAAAGAGAGGGTCTTGTCAGTGTGTCAATCCAAGCAGAAGTGCTACTTCCCAGCAAATAATCCACCCATGCCGAGGCCAGGCCTGGAGAGGATGCGCAGCCCGTTATCAGCAACCCGCGGTGCCGACCGCCACAGGCCTCATCAGCGCGATGTGGTGCAGCACCAGCGGCCGCGCCAGCGCAGCATCGGGCGCCCGCGCCGCGCCCTCGCCATTGCGTGGTGCTTTGGCGACAGCCCCGGCGATCTGCTGCTGCGCGTCTGCGACCGTCTTTGCGGCTGGTGCGGCGGCCCCGGTGGCTTTGCCAGCCGCCTGCCGCCTGGCGGCCAGCCAGCTTTCCCAAGTAGGCCCAGCTGTGGCGACCCCCGACGTTCTGCTGCTGTCGGTGCTGCTGGTGCCGTGGTAGTATCCTGCGAATCCCTTCTCTTGATAAAGGTGCTGGTACGCCGCGTGGGCCTGGTGGCTGTGGGGCGCCTGGATGGGCGGCGCCTCCAGCAGCAGCAGCTGCGTGCGGTCCAGCAGGGGTGAGCTGCGGAGGTAGGCCTGGTTCAGGGCCAGCCAGGAACAGGCGCCGCAGGCCAAGTGGAGGACGGAGGGGCTGCGGCGTAAGGGAGGTGGGGGGGGGGGGCGCGAGCGTTCGGCGACCTTGTTTGGGTTGCGTCTGCTGCAGAGTGAAGTGGTGAGAAGCCACGGCAATGTTGATGGGTTACGTCATCCAAGTGGTACGAGCAGGACATTATAACGTCTCGTCCGTGAAACAGCACTGCGTGAGTCTGTGCTCTTTGCCATCCGCAGGCCCCCAGGACCGCAGGCAAGCGGGGTTTTGAACCTCTCTGGCAGCAGGCGGCGTGTCCTGCGCATTGCTGCCATGCCCGGCACGCGCCTGCCGCCTGCATAGCGCGCCGCCAGGGTCTCCAGGGAGAAGGCCGGCAGCGGCTCCTGGAAGGGGTCGTCCGCGGCCCGCAGCACCCCGCTGTGCACTGTGATTCGCGGGTGATGGGGCAGGCCGTAGAAAGGCGGCCGCGTGCCGCCCTCAACGGGCCCGTGGGCCCTGGGGGGAGGCAGCCCGGGGATGCCAGTGCCTGCAGCTCCGCCGCTACTGCCGTCGCCGATGGTGTCACCGCTGCGGCGGGCGTCACTGGCAGCGTCGACCAACAGGTGTACGTGGCAGCCGATGGCCGCCAGCCGCAGCTCCAGGGCAAATCGCTGGACGGGAAACACGGGTATTTGGGTGGCTGTCTCGCCGGCCGGGTTCCGTGCTGTATGAGTCTGGGCTCGCGCCTGTTGCTGTGTGCCTGATGCGGTGCTCCTGGGGAGCAGCAGGCCGCCTGGCAGGTGGGGGGCGGGAGGGGCCGGCCCGCCGGTGCTGTGGGTTGCTTGATGGTTTGGCCGCCCCTCGTGGACCGAGACTACTGTGCAGGCGCCAGCCGCCACCGCCGCCAGCAGCTGGGGCGTCCAGCAGAGCTGGTAGCGCGCGTGGTCCGGGTGGCCGGCGACCTCGGACTGGAAGGGGCAGGGGGCCTCCACAAATTGTGTGGCGTTGGCAAAGAGTGCGGCCACGCCGTCCTCGGCCTGCACCACAGATTGCGGGGCAGGACAAGGGCGGCCAAGCATGCGTAGGACAAAGAGTTTGCGGATGGGTAAGTAGGGCGGGCAGCGCTCTGCTGCGGGTGAGCGATACCGGCCAGGGTGTGACCCAATTTGTCTATTGACCAGTGTATACCTGTTTTGCAGGTGAACAAGGCTTTGCAGCTAGGGGGGCACCGGGTAGTCTGATGTGAGCACCGTTTGCAGCGGTAGCGGCGCATACCCCGTTCAGCAAGAACCCTTGCAATCACCTCGCGCATCAGGGCCAGGCTCCTGGAGCCGTCGAGGCCTAGCCAGCTGCCGCTGAAGTGGTGCACGCCCACAACAGCAGCGAAAGGGCCATTGGCATCAGCAGCAGCAGCCGCGGCGGCCTTGGCCCCAGGGGCGCGGCTGCGTCGGCGCTGCTGGCGGCCGATGAGGGGCTTGCTGCGAGCAAACTTGACATGACTGCAGAATTATCGAATTTGTGAGCGCAGTATACATATGGGTCATTGGAAGGTGACGGGTGTCCTAGGGGGCATGACGAGGCTAGTCACACAGCTACAGCTCTGTATTTAATTGGCCTCAGCTAAAGTGAGGGAGTCAGGCGCAAAACTTTGTCGCCAGCCAATGAGCAAGCTCTATAGCTTGTGCAGCGAGAGCCAGGGACAATGGGCAGACAGAACCATGTGGGCTCCTCCCCGAACCACGCCACCCGCGAGGCACTGAAGCGCCCACCCTGCCAAGCACCTCACCAGCCCCAGTCATTCCAGGCACTGCATGGCAGCAGAAAACGAGCGGCGCCTGGCGACGTGAGCAGTAGCGCTGTTCATTACTAGCAGCGCCACAAGTGCCAGCAGCGTGTCGGAAGAGGCTGGCTGCGCAACTTGAATGCCATCCTGCCCCTATGGAAACAATCAAGCCTGTGTATACAAGCGAGCGTCCCAATCACGACTGTCTCTTCAGCCTGGCGTCTGCTGCTCACCAGGGGGTGAACCATTCCTTGGGGCCGAAGACGCGCGCCAGGGAGCCGTCAGGCAGGTAGTGGGCGCCGGGCAGTCCCGCTGCCACACGCCTTGCCGAGGTGTTGGCGTACTCCTTGAGGCAGATAGAGCACCATGAAGGCCGGGGGTGAGAGGCTAAAACGCACCAATGAATGGGCTGGGGTCACAGTTTGATTGGACGTGCGCAGGGACCGAAGCAGGCAACAGGCAGGCGTACAAAGCCGTGAGGTTGTCAATCAGCCGTGCAGCGGGTTGGGGCGCCTGCCTTGCAGTCGTCAATGGTGGCCCCGTCCCTGCGCTGCTGTACGGCATTCACTGTGAAGTGCCTCCTCGCATGCCACCCACCTGGAAGACCCTCGTGAGCAGCGCGGGTCCTGTCGCCTCCAGCGGGTGGGTGTTGCCCTCTCTGGCCTTGTGAGTCATGGCCCTCGCGAAGCGCAGCCAGAAGGGGTGGCCTGGCACACTCGCCATCTGGGCGTTGTTGACCTGCCTCGGGTTCTTGAGGGTCATCCAAACGCGGACATACACGGCTTAAAGGTGAGGAGTTATGCGAGTATGGTGTGAGTTGTGCGGCTGCAGCTGCCACAACAACTTACCTGCCAGTAGGAAGCATGCGGAGGCCACTCCGCCGTCCCCAACGCCCTTGACTCACGCCCCGGCCAGCCCAGCACACAGCCCACAAATCTCATTCACGCACCTGCCCGCATCACAGGCACGCCCTTCACCTGCTGCAGGCAACCCCATGCATCCACCCGCCCACCCGCCTGCCCGCTAAACACCTTGCCTGCCCCGCTCATCGAGCGCGCAGTCGCACGCGTCGGATCTTTTGGCCGGGCCCAGGTCCCCCCACCTCTGCCATGAGGACGATGTCGGCCCCCTCCAGCGCGGGCCCTGCATCTGCCAGGCACTCTGTGTCCAGATCTAGGTAGAGGCCCCCGTGGGCGTGCAGGATGAAGGGCCGGATTGCGTCTGCAGCGTCGCAAGGGAGCAGCGCGTGCGAGGTGAAGATATTACATGCCGTGTGTGAGCAGGTGCTCAAGCGAGGGTGCGCGATTGGGTGAGACGGCCGAAGCTTGTGCTGCCGTGGTCGCGTTGGGACGAGTTGAAATGTGTCTGACAGCAGCCCGTGTGCGAATGGCAGGGGGTGTTTTGTCTGCCAGGCGGGCGTCACGTGCGCAGCGTGGGTGCTGCCTCTCGCCCCTGCTGGGGCCCCACCAGACTTGAGCACGGTGGTGTTGTAGGCGCGCCACGTGGGCAGGAACCAGGGGTAGCGTCCCGCAAGCAGGGCTTCGCAGGCCGCCTCGTCCCACAGCTGCAATCGTGCGGGTTGATGATCAGGGGACAAGGGCTGGGCTGAAGCGTGCCGGCTGGGGGCGCGTTTGCTGCGGCCAACGAAGGCAACGGCCGTTGCTAATTGGCATCTCTGCTCCCTGGCAGGGAGGAATTCCTCAAGTATGTTTGGTTCTTGTCTCGTGTGGTGCTGCCCTCATGGTACGGTTCAGTGGGCCCTGACTGCGCTGGTCGGCGCCGCGGAGCTCACCACGTAGTCCCAGCAGGGGTGGTGGGTCTGGGCACGCATGGCGGGCGGGGTACAGTGATACGCGCAGCGAGCATAGCTTCAGTCAGGTCAGAGTTTTTAAAGGCAAGATGACTCAAACTGTTCGCAAGAAATGGGCGCCGTGTCGCTGATGAGGCAGCGGCTGATGAGGCAGCGAGCACTGTTTCAGCATGTTGCATGCCTAACGGAGGAATGGAGAGGCACAAAACCATTGCTGGGCATCTCCGCGCACCAGCGGCAGACTCATCGCTGCAGCCACCGTCGCAGCCTGCTTTGACAGACGAGTCCCACCTGGCAAGAGCGCCACCACTCCTTGCGGAAATGAGACTTGGGCTGTAGCGCGGCGGAAGCCAGCGCCTCCGCTCCTCCAAGGTAGTTCTGGTGAATGATGCGCGGGATGCGGCCCCCCTGCTCGTCCCCTGCTGCCTCACCGCCGCCCAACCTGCCGCTTGGGGGCAGGTGCCGCACCTCGCCGGCGGTGCTGGTGGCGAGGTGCAGCAGGCGGCCGCTGTCGAGCAGGCCGGATGCGGCCAAGGACACGGCCACCAGGAGTGCCACGAAGCTCGCGGGCGCGATTAGGCGGCGACGCAGCTGCTTTCGGCCGGGCGCCGCGGCGGTGCTAGCGGCTGACATTGCGCCTGCCACTGCATGCATCGCCTTGAGCACGAGCAATCTTTAAGCTGGTGCGTGGTTTCAAGGTTACTGCGGGCGTCCTGGGCCCATCCGTGTGTACCCTTTGAGCTACCTCGGATGCTACGAACAAGACAATCAGGTCCCCTTCACGATGCGTTCGAATCCGAATTCGAAGGCTTCATCACGTATGCAAAAAAGGGCGCGCGGACGAGAGCCATGCTGACTCTATTGATCTATCTCCGGTGTATGCTGCATGCTCAGATTGCAGTCATCCACGTCAAGGAGTGCTGCTGGCAGCTTGCTGTTGTCCAGCCTGTCGCTGGTCAGTTGCTTCATGTCCAGTGCCACCGTGGTTTTCTTCCACACAATGCGCGCCCTGCATTGTGTGGACTGGCGCAAGCGCCGGCAACATGCCAACTGTCATGCGTGCTGGGACATTCTACGCCGACCCATGAGCGAAGCCCGCCCACTGACTTTGCGATTGCGTATAATTCAAATGCGGCTGCCAACGTGTGCATGCTCAGCGTCGCTTGAGGACGGCGCGCGGCCAATCATCAAGCTCGCGCCCGCCTCAATGCGCCTGGCCCATGACACGGGCGAGGCGCAGCAGAGTTGGGGCGCGGCTGACCAGGACGCCCCATACCATGCCAGCGCGCTCCAGCTGATGCAGCAGCGCTGGAGGCGACACGGATTGGGTTACAGGGGAACTCGCTAGCTGCATAAGGCAAGCGTGGGGTAATAGCCAGGAGGCGGGTAGTTGGCAGGGCACAATAAAGGTACTCAGGCTGGTGCAGACTGGCCTCCAACGCCCGCGACACTGGTAGCCACCCCTAGTAAATCTGCAACAAAGCGCGGTGCAAACGTCAAACAGCTGCCATGATTGCAGAATTCATTCAATTCAACCAGTGAGGGTGGAATGCAGCATCCTGCGCAAGAGGAGGGGTGGCCTGGAGCAAAGGGTGGGGGAGAGGGCCGCTGCTGCGCAATCAAGCAAGGTGCATAGACAAAGGCCGCAAACACAACGTCACAATGCATGCCGCGTCTTGCCTGTAAATGGAGATCCCGGAAAGGAGCCCTTGAAAGCGCTGCCCCTCACACCCCAATGTGGGGGCAAGCGCACCCTAGTTGAACCCTGGCCTTGTTCAAGCCTGCCTGTGATGAACATGCAAGCGGCGATTGCGGGCCCTGCCACGGCCCGCCAGGGCCGCAACGGATGCCGCGCAATACCAAAAACAGATCAAAAAGCCTATCACTGTATGGGTGCACTCTACTGCACGCGTGCTGCCTGAAACCCGGTGTGCAGCGGCCTCACGCGGCCGGCACAACCGAGCTGCATTTCGCGACGTACGGCGCCGCAGAAACGCTCAGGTTCCTCTCTCCAATAGGCACGACCTCCCCAGCCTTTTCCAGGGCCTTGGCACGCGTCGCCGCCTTGGCCATACCCCGCTGTGTGGCCAGCAATATGTAAGGGGTGGCCACGTCAGGGCCGCAGGCGGCCAGGGTGCCGTTGCCGCCGGCGGAGGAGCAGATGCTGCGGGTGGGGGGCAGAGCATGTATGTCAGGAGTGGGGTGGAGCCGTGGTCACCTGGACTCGCACAAGTGAAGACCTGGTGATTAGCAGCGCCGGTGCACCGACCGCAACGGCGGCCAAAGCAGCTGCTGCGCATTGGCTGCCGACCCAGGGGTCAAAAACGCAATTGCAGCTGCTGCGACCCCATGGCAGCGCCAACGGCTTTGCCCAGATGCGCCCTGCTGAGGCCCCACCATCAGCTCAGCGGAACCCCCTCCCCCCAGCAAACCCAAAAGCGGCCGCTCACCCCATGTCGGCCTGAGCGGGGTAGTAGTAGATCCAGTGGAAACACATCTCATCGTTTGTCCCCTGCGCAGGCCGTACAGCAACGGCGCGGCTAGTTGGGCACCAGACGTATCAGGGTGCTTGATGAAACTGGAGGAGGATTTTTCTACCCAGCGCCCGATCGTACCGGTGTATGAAGTGCCCGCTATACCCTGATGCAAGATCGACCGAGCGACCCCCCAGGGCTGTCTTTGCTGTGGCCGCCAACGCAACCACAGGCTTGGCCACCCACCGGCCCGCCGCGCGTCGTATTCTTGCGGGAGCGAGAGTCAAACGTGCACCTGCGGGTCAACGCGATGCAGGGCGGCCCACGTGGAACACAGCAGCCGCCACACCCTCGGCCCCAGAGGGGTGAGCACAGGCAGACGACGCCTATTCATTCAAGCGCAGGCTTAGCCAGGCCCCGCCCCAGGCCCCCAGGACACTCCCGCCATTACGCAGCAGGCGCCCCACCCCGCCCCAGCCGCCTGTCACCACGGCCGCTGGCCCCGTCCGTGCCGCCACCGCCACCACCCAGCCTGTGGAAGCCACCCGCCCGACCGGCCCCGTCCCCGCCGGCCGCCCCGGCCCCCGCGTGGCGCATGTGCTCACGTGAACTCCAGGCGCTCCCCTGGGCTGAGGGTGTTCATGCCCTGCGGGACGGGCG